AGTAATTTGCCAAGCCATGCTTTTCAGGAGCTTTGAAGACTGCCTAGGGTTTGAGCACAGAGAGGGAGGAGCATTTGATGAGACCACAGCAAAAGCATAGCTTTAGAATTAGGAACATGTGGGTCACACTCAGGAAATAATGAAGGCACCAGCTCATAGTAGCAGAGGGCTTGGCTAGAGCGTAGCAGAGAATAAAATGGGAGATGGAGAGAGAGGTGGGGTTTTAGAACTTCTTCCCAGCCAGGCTGAGTAGATGCATGAGGCAGGAGGAAGCCATGATGGTGGATGAATGACATATTTTAATTAAATTAATCTGGCCACATTGCCGAGATAGGACTAGGTAGGAGAAGAGCCTGGGATCATTAAGCTTTTTGTATTGATCCCTGTCTCTGGTGCTGTAGGCCTGAACTCTGGTGATCCATTACCCAGATGGATATTGAAAAGTCTCCATCCAATTTCAAAAGGTACTAGCCACAAGAGTGAGGAGAATTTAAATATTGGAAATTATTTCAGAAAGTGCCTCATTAGTCCCTTCCCTCTCTTGTGGTTATTTATTAAATCATCTCAGATGTTTGCTGCTGTTGTGCCTAAGCTGCTTAACATTTCTTTATCTCTTACAAATTATGGTCTTGATAACCTCCTCATCATTATTTTTCCTTTAAATATTGAACTATAAATGTGCTGCCTGGGCACACTCTGGTGGTTAATTAGAATGTCATTGGTGAAGCTTGCATAGCAGTGTTGTAATTACTTCCCTGAATCGTCTTAATTCCCCCTCCCCCCTCACCCCACGTCCACATCTGAAACTGAAAATATCTGTCCAACCCTTTGGTCTCAGCAGTTAGTCACGTGGTATGCAGCTGGTCATCTGAGGGTGGTCTCAATGCCTCATCCTCACGGTTCAGGTCTGAATGCAGAGCTTCTCAAGCAGCAACCCCTGTAATTAGTGTGTCTTCCTGAGAAAGGTCTGGAGCAGTGGTTCGCAAAGTGTGGTCCCCACATGAGCAACAGCCTCTGGGAAATCGTTAGAAATGCAAGTTCTCAGGACCTTCTCTCAGATCTACCAAACCAGAAGCCCTGGGAGGTGGGCCCACCAGCGTTTTAACAAGCCCTCCAGGTGCAGGCTGAAGTTTGAGGACCGTTGTCCTGAACAAATATCTTCACAGGGTTGGACAGCCAGACCCAGGGAGGGCAAACAGACTTCAGAAAAACGCAGGGAAGTTCAGAGGCTGAGAAGAGAGGGCAATTACTTCCCTCTTGGAGATGATGCAGACGTCCAGAGGAATAACTGTGAGAAGTGAGATTTTTGTCTTTCCCCCTTTGCCTTTGAGAGAAGACCTGGGACGTTATAGCTTGCCTTGTGCTTGGGAAAGACACGTCCTTAAGTCCGTCTTCAGGAAAGACTATTCCTACTCATGGGCCTCATCGGACGTTGTGTTGTTATATTGATGAAGAAAGAGATATATTTCCCACTTTGTGTGAATCTTATTTTCCTTTATAGAGAGAGCTAAATTCTGAGATATGATTGCTTGATGGTTAGGAGGAAATGGGAGTTTGTCTTTCAACCTCTGTCTAACACTGAATATTCATCCATAGGAGGAAGGCTTTATTGAAGGTGTCCCCAGGGGTCCTGGTAAAAACCCAACATTTGCCTAAGGTTTTAGTATCAGTCTTGATCCATGAACTCTGGGAACTGAGGAATAAATAGTTCATCAGCTTACCACTTATCTTGTGTCCTCTAATTATTGTCATTAATTAACCAAGGACAGTTAGGGAAAGTCCATTTTCTACTGCCAGGATTAGAACTAGCGGTCCTCATTTCAATTCTTAAAACTCCACTTTTTATTTATTTTTTTTAATTGGCAACACAGGTCCATAAAAAGCCGGTTCTGCCATGGGCATGCTCATCAGAATGGTGACTTAAATCTAAGTGTGTAACCCCGAGTCGCTCTCCTTGATTGTTTAAAAAAGTGATTTATTTTCTAGCTCTTGGAATTTCTGTCTATCTCGACAAGGAACTCTCCTATTTACACAAGAAGGAAGAGGAGTTTCTATGTAATTGTCCCATTCTACAACGAGTGTTAATCATTAGGATAAAATCTCTTTGGGAGGAAAAGAAATCCTGGCTGATATGGCCAACCAACCCTTCTGTTTGTTCAATTATGTATGTAGTTTCTTTTTGTGAGATCCATGAACTTCTCCATGAGTCGTTTCCATCTGGGAAACGTAGAACCTCCCCTCCTGGTCTCTGATTGTGTGAGTCCATGGACCAAAAGCCCATGGACTGATCTCGGAGGGGATCCTGGTTAAAGAGCTAAAGGGGGTAGAAAACTGACTCCCTGGTTACTCTGGTCCTACCTGGGCCCCGGGGGCTGGCCCTGTTTTCCCCCCAGATTTCCTGCTTCCCTCCTGCTTGCTCCTTCATCTCAGCAGAGTGTGCTCATTTATTGGTGAGCTCCCGCTGAGGAAGGGCTGCAGCACCAGCGCATAATTTACTCCCTCTATTATTTCAGCTCCAAGTCTAGGACTCGAGGAATGATACGAAACAATGATTAAATCGGCTCTAAATCTGACAGAAAAAAAGGTCTATTATGGTTTCAACATTGTTCTCTGTAAATCAGAGGTGCTGCAGAGGTATATTTTTCAACACCATGTCCTTTAGCATCAGCCCTCCCATTGTTGCCTTTGGAAATGGGTAGCATGGGAGGGAGCAGCAGAAATGGCAAGGGGGCACGTAACGATGGAAAGAAGTTTCTGCAGCCTGATCAGCCTAATTCCTTATACTATTTTGAACATCTGCTTTCATTTTTGAACCAAAACATCCTCAATGGCATTGAGCTGACAGCTCTTCCCACACTGTTCTGTCCTCTTCCACAGTCTAGCAAGCACGTTCCCTTCAAGATGTATTTCAAGGTAACTACTAAGCTATCCACAGGGGCCATGGGAATAATAGGAGGCAGGGAACTCACAGGACCCCCAAATATGCCATCCATAACTCCAGTAGCTATTGTGAGGGCAATAGTAAGGTGATCACTTGGTCTTGGTGAAGTGATGGGTTTCTCTGTCTTCTTGACTGAATACACGTCAGTCTTGATGAATATGAATCTATGATGCACAGCGAAGTTGCTGTTGGCACACATGAAGATGTGTCATATTTACCAACAGAGCTCCCTGGCCTCACGCTCTTGCTCACCTCTTTCACCTACACTCACCTTTGCAAAGAAATGCAATGTCTCTTCATCCCTTGGGATCTGGAGAGGATTTCCACTCAGCCGACTTCGCGTGCTTTCTTTCTCTGCAGCTAGAGTAGCTAAGAACTCTGGCACCTTGTGGGTTTTGTTCTTGAAACAAACAAACAAAAATGCCATCATGGCTTGGGCGTTGCAGCAATGTCACATTAGCTCTAGATCTGCATTTTCCTTTTTGTGTTTAAACTGATACCTAAGTAGGAGAGCAGGCAGAGAGCTAGGCTGTGATGTCTGGCTTTTTCTCCTGTCTCTTTTCAGGACTGGACTAAGCAAATTCATTGTCTTTCTTCCAAACCCCTTGCCTTAGTGTAAACCCAGTAGTTGTTGTTCCCTTTATAAAAGAACTATCTTTTTCAGTGTTTGTTTTCCGTTCAGTCTCCTTAGTTTGTAAATGCAAGCGTAGATTACTCTTGATGCTTTGCTGGAGGTTTTTCATCCTGATTGTGATTTGGGAGGTGACAAAGGGCATGTTTGACTTGTGATAGAGATAAGAATGGCTAAATCCAGTGCATGTAATAGGATCCCACAGACTGACCCACCCTGGCTCTAGGTGGGCTCCGCATTCCCGTACTGCACAGATTCCTGCCTGATGAATACACTAAGCATTGCCCTTACAGAGTACAACTATACTAACTGGTATGGCATACAGTGATTTCCAAAGCGGCAACCCTGGAAATCCTCCATCCCGCATTTCTCAAGCTCGCCCTCTCCTGGCCTGGAGGTCCACGTTGCTTTCCATCTGGGGAAAGTATTTTACTTCTCTTTTGCTCCCCTCACCTTCTTTATGCTCCTGGCCTGAGTGTTACCATTTTCTGACTGATAACAGTATACCACGAATTTTCATTTACAGCTCTGAGATGCTTAGGAGGCTTTCCTGCTTCCCACCCAGCCCCAGACTTGAGCCTTTTCACACACTGATCCTCGGATCAGCTTGACGCGGGAAGGCACGCGGGAGCCGCGTACCAGTTTGTATAGTAGTACACTCTTGATCTGCCTACTCTTGAACAAAGTAGAGTGTGCCGGGGTCCGCATTCGCTGCTTGACACACACAGAGCCAGTTAACCTGCATGCCGAAAATAAAGATGAAATTAACCCTTAGAGTACTGCTTCAACGTTTTGGTTTAATGGCCTTGACCTTTACCAGTTGGGCAATGCTTCTTCCCGGGTCAGAATGCGGCACATGGATCCACACTTAGTCTCTCCAGAACCTCAACCAGGACCCTCTCCTCCACAGCTTTCCTGAGACGCTCCTGGGTCCTCTCCTGCTCATCAGCTGTTGGCTTTCAAAAGGTTCCCAACACGGCCGCCTTGTTTAATTGGCAATGGGCTCCATGCCAACGTGCTGAAGGGTGTGAGGGACTGTATTCAGCTCTGGGACGTGTCCTCTCAAAGAAAGTCAGTCCTTTAAGGGTTAATGTGAAATGAAGGCCTTTGGTAGTGTCTCTTGCTTGTCCTTCCTCCAAGGTGTCTGCATGACCTTCTTTAAATTTTTAGCTCAAATGTTGAATGATGATGAAAATAATAGAGAGAGAGAAAATTATAACATAAACAACAGAACAAAAGACTGGATGGTTGAATGGAAAGACCCCTTGGCGATGCTTGCTTGATGATCACAGGGGGTAGGAAGACCAAGTGCTTTGTCTGATGGACGTTCACTGTGTCCTCTGCCCCAGCACCACCACTGCGCAGCCTGCGGGAGACTGGATGGTGCCTCTCATTGACCCCATGCCTTTTCTTCTTCCTGTCTAATAGCCCCATAGAATCCTGCCAGAATTTCTACAAAGATTTCACATTACAGATCGACATGGCTTTCAACGTGTTCTTCCTTCTCTACTTTGGCTTGCGGGTAAGTTGGAGCAACATTGCTCGGTACCGCCATGGGGGGTGCAAGTCTTGTTTCCAAGGGCCATCCTCCGCCAGCCTCTGCTCTCGCAGGCAGACAAAGCCCAGTGTTCCCAGGGGACACAGCAGCCCTGCGTCCCGAGTGTTCGCCTGTGGGAGAGCCTTTTCCTTAGAGCAGCATTTTTCTGAAGTACATGTTCATTGTGTTCACAGGGGGAGAAACGGGGATTGAAATAACTATTATGCCTCCACTGGCCAACTGCTTCTCTTCCCTCTATTCAAACAGGAGGGCATTGTTCTCTTAAACAGAACTTAAAAAAGTGCTTTTTACCTTTAAATGTTTGTTTATCAGGGCTCACTTAGCTGGATCCTGAGAGAACAGTGGAATCAGGGGGGTAGCAGAATTTGGGGCTTGGGAGGGTTACACTACACCCTGTTTATGACAAGAGTGGTACAGAGGTGGATTACAGAGGTGTGTGTGTGTGTGTGTGTGTGTGTGTGTGTGTGTGTGTATGAATGCACCCATATACGCTTTATTTACATTAGAGAGTCTTCCCTCTGATGCAGTTAAAAACCACAGAAAAAATATACTGCCTGAGCTTTCTCCAAGGCCAACATAGCAAGCAATAAAAGAACAGCCTTTAGAAATGGCTGTCTGAATTCTAAGACAAAAATAGCATCTAATTGGTGTAGATATGAGAAGAATATAACATCTCTCTCCAGACCCCCACAAGAAACCAAAACATAGCCTTTGGCAGAGTATATTTTGAATGCTGGCACCAGGCTTCTCATTTTTCCCTCTTTTCTTTCCCCCAGTTTATTGCAGCCAACGACAAGCTGTGGTTCTGGCTAGAAGTGAACTCTGTGGTGGATTTCTTCACGGTCCCCCCGGTGTTTGTGTCTGTGTACTTAAACAGAAGTTGGCTTGGTAAGTCAGCCTCTCTTCCCTTCTTCCTCCTGCTTCCAGGGCCATAGCTGAATTAGAGACTCCAGGGCGGGTCAGAGGGCTGGGCTGTTCTGCGGGAAGGAAGTTGTGTGTGTTAATGTGAACAACTCCTGGAGTGTTAGACGCTGATGGGGACAGTTCTTGGAGCACCCGACCACAGGATTTGCACAGCTTGTGCTTCAGGTAATGCGGTTTTGTCATTGTGGAAGCTTTTTTATATATATAAAAGCCTAAGCGACCATCCGACCATCCGACTGGTAGCCATGACACGCAATGACTACCAGGGGGCAGACACTCTGACTGGTAACTATGACACGCAATGACCACCAGGGGGCAGATGCTCAATGCAGGAGCTGCCGAGCTGTGGTGACTTGGCAGCTGCAGTTCTCAGATGATGCACCCTGACCCAGGGAGGAGGGAGCCCGATTCTAGGGTGTGTCACCCGAGAACTGCCCTCTTGTAATCCAGGATCCCTCGGGGGATGTCAGAGAGCTGGTTTTGGCCCAATCCCCATAGGCCAGGCTGAGGGACCCCACTGGTGCAAGAATCCGTGCACCAGGCCTCTAGTATATGTATATTATAGTCAGTATAAACATTCAAAAATGCTTACATAAAGAAAATATTAATCATATTACCCTCCTTACCCCCTCCCTGCCTGCTCTCTGAGCTGCTCAGTGTTAACAGACCCCACAACTTTCCTTCACATTCATTCCACCACAGAAAGCATGTATGTTCACACATGATAGTGTGCTAGAAGTGGTGGTCTTTGTACAAGATAATTGTGTGAATCACATTGTACAAAAATTTGGTTTTCTTACTAATAAATGATGGACATCCGTTCAGCACAAAATTCCATATATTGTTGTGCCCCAGTTTATTCTGCAATAACCCTAATGATGGACCACACGATCGTTTTCTTCTTCTACTGTATGCAATGGTCTAATAAACACACTCATCCACATATTTGTACAATTTTATTTGCATAGATCAGCCGTGGGCAAACTACGGCCCTCGGGCTGGATCCAGCCCGTTTGAAATGAATAAAACTAAAAAAAAAAAACAAAAAAACAGACCGTACCCTTTTATGTAATGATGTTTACTTTGAATTTATATTAGTTCACATAAACACTCCATCCATGCTCTTGTTCCGGCCCTCTGGTCCAGTTTAAGAACCCATTGTGGCCCTCGAGTCAAAAAGTTTGCCCACCCCTGGCATAGATAGTTCTAGGTTCCTGGGAGAGGACTTGGATATGTATATTTTACTTTGTGCAGATGTTGATGGATAACATTTCAAAAATGTGTCAAGACATGCTTCTGTCAATATATTGTGATGTTCTTGCTAGCGCTGTGAATTTATTATATACATAGTATCATATATTTTAAAAATAAGCCTCTTTTACATGTAGTATATGCCATAATCACATGCACACTTGTGTGTGTGTCCTATAAGGGTACTGTTTTCTACCAGTTTTCTCATGCTTGATTTGAGACGTGTTTGCTCAGATTGGGTGTTCCAGCCAACACAATGAGCCCATTGAGCTGCATGCAGATCTGAGAGATGTCTTCAGTATAACCCAGATGTGCTCTGTGGCCAAGGGTTCCAGACACCTCAGCTTAGCTGCTAAATGGCTTTGTGACCCAGGGACTCAGTTTTCATCACTTGACCTATTGTTTTTCATCTGTATAGTGAAGGTTGGGCTAGGTGATCTCTACGGTTCTTTTAGCTCAGAAAGTCTCTACGATGCTTGTATTGATGGGAAATTTGGGGTCTTGTTTGTTGGGGAGGACTGGGAAGTTAGTGAAATTAAATCATCAACATTTCCAAAATTACATATGGACTGCTAACCAGGGCTTTTTCTAGCCATCCCATTGCAAAGAGTACACACACACACAGACACACAGACACACACACCCTTAAACAAAGAGGCAAAGAATGAAGGAAGGGAGAGAAGGAAGAAGAGAGGAAGGATAAGGGAGGGAGGGGGAAGAGTGAGAAAGAGGGAGGAAAGGATGGAGAGGGGAAAGGAAGAAGGATGGAAGGAAGAAAAGGAATGTGCCTTCTCTTCTTGGCCATGCTCTGTGCACTTAACAGTCACTTTTCTTTTCTGGACCCTCAGTTTTCCCATCTGAAAAATGGGAGGGTTGCCATAATTACTTCCAGCCCTCATAGCTCCTGAATTTGAATTTCATGTAAGGGTCCATCCTACCCGGAGCCATGTGGTCCTAGATGATGAGGAGACCCCTTCCTGACGGTGGTGGAGATACCTCTGCAGCCAGCAGGTCTCACCGGGGTAAGGGTGTGGGGCCGCCTCCGCCTTGTGAGTGAAATGTGCCCTAGAGTGTCTTATGCCAGGAGACCTTGGGTGTTGTAAGAGCCCCTGCCTTCTTGTGGATGGCTTCCTCCTGATTTCTGGAGGTGTGTTCTGATCTAGTGAGATCGATCAGAGCAAACAGAAAAGGGGGAAGAAAAGGAAAGGGAAGAACATGGGTTACATTTTGCATCTACTCTGGTTGCTCTTCAAAAAATGCTCTAAATGTGCTTCAGTTTGTTCATGAATTGAACAATATTTATTAAGCATCTACGATGTGTCAGGCCCTTTTCCTGAAATCATAGACCAGTGACATTTTGGGCCCTGAAATAATGATAATGATAATTAGTAATAATAATAATAAACAACTAACCTTTCACCTCTTGTAGGAGAAAACACCTGTATTAACAACACTTCTTGTTCTTTGGTAATGAAGCCCCTGGGTGAGATTCAGTACTGGTCTGCCTGTTGTGGAAGGGAGTACAGTGTGATAATATTCCAAGGCGGTCCTCGTGTCTGACTAAATACCTGGGTTATTACACTGTGAGACAAGTATCGTGCCAGCGAGCTGCCAGCGGTGAAATGAACATTCCCATGAGGCATGGCATGTAACCTAGAAGGAATCATCTCATTAAATGGGGCATTTCAGGAGGTGCTGCCTTCCTCTCGGGAAATGAAAGGTGTTGCCTTTAGTGACTGAGGTTTGGGCTGAGCTGCAGGAAAGTGCGTCTCCTGGTTCTCCCGCTCACACCTCCGTGGCCCTGCCCAGACAGAGGTCTGGGCTGCAACTGGCACTTCGGGGCTAAAACACAGGGAAGGCCATGACTCCCCACACTGTCTTTCCCACAGCACAACCCTCACCATGTTTGATTTCTTATTGTTAATATATGGTTGCCTATTATATATAGTACTAGAGGCCTGGTGCGCGAAATTCGTGCAAGAGTAGGCCTTCCTTCCCCCAGCTGCTCTCATCGGCTTCCCTCTGGCACCCAGGACCCAGGCTTCCCTCTAGCCGCCGGCAGGCACCTGGCATATTATGCTTTTATTATTATAGATAGTGTGGTATTTACTTCCATTTTTGTGCATATTCTTCATGCCCTTGATAGTGTATTACTAATAACAGCTAATATTTATTCTGGTTCTACTAAGTTCTGGGCGCTCTGACAAGCCCCTGACAAACATGAACTCAATCCTCAGCTAAGAATGATTTTCCCCATATTGCAGGTAAGGAAACTGCGGCTCAGAGAGGTTAAGTATCTGGTCCAAGGTCACACTGCCAGGGCGTGAGGAAAGGTGATTTGTCCCAGATTTTGTCTGGCTTTATGTCCATGCTCAGGCTGCACTCTTCCCCCTGCCCTGCCCTGGAGAGTTTTGGGGTTTGGGGAATTGGGTTGGGGATGACCCAGCTGTTGCACCTTCCATCTCTTCTCACTCACTGAGGGCTTCGCTGGGGGCAGGCAGGGAAGAGATCTTATTTAAGAACACACACCCTCATGGCTTCTTCCCACGTGTCCTGTCTCACGCCCAGTTTCTAGAGTGGCCACTGGGACCGGGAAAACACAGGTGTACCTGAGTCCAGGGGCACCTTAGCCACTTGAGGATCAGTTCTGCCTCACCTGAGAGAGATGGGGGCTGCCACGCACCCTCCTCCACAGAGCAGAGAGGATCCAAGATGAGCTCTGGCTCCACCCCCTCAATTCACCTCATGGCTCAGCCACTTGCTGATGGGTCACTCTGAGCAAGGTCATTGTTCCTGTCTTACACTCCGCCTTCCCACCTGCACAACAGGGGTGTTAATAGCACTCACCTCATAAGGTTGAAGTGGGGATCCAGTGTGGTAATGTGAATAAAATGCTAGGTACATAGGATGAACTTAATGATCATTCTGGGCCTCTCTTTCTCACTTACCTGTCAGACTTTAAGCCCTAGGGAAGAGCCCTGGCTGGGTGGCTCAGTTGGTTGGAGTGTTGTCCCGTACACCAAAAGGTGGCAGGTTCGATTTCCGGTCAGGGCACGAACTTGGGTCGTGGGTTCCATCCCTGGTTGGGGCAGGTACAAGAGGCAACTGTTTGATGTTTCTCTCTCTCTCCCTCTCTCCTTCTCTCTCTCTCTCTCTCCCTTCCTTTCTCACTCTAAAATACATATCCTCTGGTGAGGATTAAAAAGGAATAAAAAATAAAAAACAGAGCACCAGGGAAGAAAACAAACCAGAATAGGCACCAAAATAAGGCCGCAGGACGTGAGGACATCCACGTCCACAGTCAGCACGTCGCTGCTTATTTTAATTCCTGTTCCCACACACCAGCTTTTTCATTTCTGTTTCTTTCACAAAATTATTCTCCTCCCTCCCTAAAATAAATAGGCCATGAAATGAGAGATGTGTCTTATTTTGAGACGTGAATGATATGCTCTGGGGAGAGCTCTTTTCTCTGTGTGTCTCATGCCTTTGGGAACCGCATCCCTAAGGAAGGCCAGTGGGCTGTGGCTCCTTTGTGTGTTTATATATTTTTGTTGAGGGTCATCTTGTGTGGTTAAATAGAAGAAAGGAGAGAAAAAATATGCGCTCCCTGGCCAGTCAGTGAAACTGTTTTTCCGGAGCACCTACTGTGTGCTCAGCGCCGGGAGGAGGGCCACCTGCCTGGCCACTCTGGGCTTGCTTCACTGTGATTCTCT